AAAGCCTTTTGTAACCAACTGATACATTTTCTACAGTATGTAAAGAAGGAAGATTTTATGTGTTGTGTTCGCTTTGAAAAAACAAAAATAAAAAAATATTTTAAAAAAACAATGCAGGAGGACATAAGTATTTTTAAAAATTGAATGTTCCATTGATGTTTTTGAAAGAATGGCCAATGTACCTTGATCTAGGACTTAGTATGCTGGGAAAGAAATTAGGGTTTATTCAATAAACCATAATTAAACCACAGCTTAGCATAATAAAACAGATCTTTTTTTAAATACATATCTCCTTCCCCTACAGCTCCTCTTTGTTAGAGCAATGATTATCTTATTTTATTTTAATAAGAACAGAGGATTAATCAGGAATATATCTTTAATGAACCCAATTCACTCTTTGAAATACTGTAATATAATTTTGTGGAATGATCCTCTGAATTCTTGAAAAGGAAATTTTGGAGGCAGAAAAATCAGCTCTGAATTTACAAATACATGAATGTCTGTTCTTTATGTGGTTTCATATAATGAATTATTATATTCATTGTTTTATTTTTAAACACTATATTGCAGTCTCTCAGTGATGAGGACTCCTTTAAAAAGTGCTCTTCTGAAGCAGACGTTAAGAAGAAAATTGAAGAATTGCTCACTAATCTTCTAGAAAGGTAATTTTAACTTACAACAGTTCCGCAATATTTGGGGTCTGAGCAAGATTTTGAAACTGGGAGCTGCATTGTGTATGTGTGAATATATAAAATGGGTGGAACAGTGGCACAATGAGATCACAAGTAAATATTCAGCCCTTTTTAGTTACTTGTATATTAAACACTTCAGATTTACACACTTTTCTCACCAGAGTGGTTCCTTCTGGTGGGGTAGTAATCCTTTGTTAAAATATTCATGACTGGGAGAGACATGGGAACAAGGTCAGCCAATGAATAGGCATAGCAACTAAGTCAGCCAATGGGAGCTTAAACATGTCTGAGTCTGTGCAAAGAATTGAAACAGAAACTTAAGCAGTCTGCTTCTCTGAGAACTAAACTAGCAGTCTGTCTGGGCTTATCTGCTGGAATGAAACTAGCTGCTTGTGTTTGCCTGTAACTCAACTGCCTTGTGTTTACTTGGAAGAACCACCTGTTGGTATTGTACATTTATTCATCTATTCTTATGTATATAAAGAAGTTAATCAATTCAGTTGAATCAGTTATCTGTATGTGCTTCTGGATTTGAATTTATGCAGCAAACTCTGACATCCTTGATCTCAGCTGGCCTGGCAGGAACATGAGAAAGGATCATCTGCAAATCCTCAAAACAGTGTAAACCTCTGTTCTTGGGGGAAGGATTGTCTCCATATTTCTTGAGCTACGACGCAGACCACAATGGAAGGGAATTATACCTGGCATGTACCAGTATTAAGCAATAGCAATAGCACTTAGACTTGTATACTGCTTCATAGTGCTTTACTATCTAAGCAGTTTACAGAATCAGCATCTTGCCCCCACCAATCTGGGTCCCCATTTTACCAAACCTGGAAAGGATGGAAGGCTGAGCCAGCCTTGAGCTGGTCAGGATCGAAGGAATCAAACGCCTGGCAATGTGAACAGAGTTAGCCTGTAATACTGCATTCTAACCACTGCCTCACCATGGCTCATTCACCACTCCACAATCTAATGATCTCTCTTACTGCTTCATTTTGTTCTACAAATTGCTCATTTAGGAGGTTATACTTTGGTGGTGAATTGCCAATTTGCATTAATGCTTGATTGCCTTTCTAGATGGGGAGGGAATCCTTCTCCATTTCTTGAGCCAGGCCAGGTTGAAATGTAGAAACGGGAGACAACGTTGGTTGTTGATGGCTCCATGTTTTCAACAGGTTGTACAAAGATGGCAGAAAGCCCTATACCATCAGATTAACCATCCGTCAGTATTCTGCTACCAATAAATGGTTTAATCGAGAGAGCCGCCAATGTCCAGTTCCATCTCACTTGATCAAGAGGATCGGTTCAGGTATTTGTGTCTCATGGACCTTATTTTTTCTCTTTTGACTTGATGTCCAAGAGAGTTCATGAATATATTGCTTCCTCCCACCCTCTCTCATTCACATAACATACAGCACTAGACTAAGTATATCAACTTTTCTAATTTGACCCCCTTCAAATTCCTTAGGATTGCAACTCCCAACATTGCTAAGACCCTACTGCCTTGGAATTCTGGGAGTTGTAGTTCCATTCTATCTAGTGGGTTGTAGATTGCCCATTGAAGTCTCCATTTGAAGCAGATCTCCATGTTACTCATTTGGGCATTACCCCAGACCTGGTGCTTCAAGAAAGAGTGAGATCCTACTTTGGGAAGTCCATTCCCTTATTTAATGAAGCCTTGTCCCAAATACTCATTGTTGTCCTTGCCTCTATCAGCTTTTTCTCTTCTCAAGTTCACTGTCTCTTTGCCATAGATAGACATCCTTCAACAACTTCTCCATCTTTTCAATTCCAGCTGACCTGGATGCTTTCCTTCATGGAAATTAGATCAGCGTGCTTACTTGCTAGGGAATGTCCATTCTTAAGCTCCTTAAACTTGGAGAAAAAGAATTCAGTTTGTCAGATGCCAGCAAGTTCCAAGTCCTTTGGAGCTTGGAAATAATCACTACTCAAAGGCATTAATTGTTAGTCACCATCTTCCCAGGGCGATTTCATCCAGCCTATGGGAAACCATAGCCGGTCACAAGCCCGGATANGGAACACTATCACCTTCCTACCAAACTGGCTCCTATTTTTCTACTTGCATTTTTTAACTGCTTTTGAACTTCTAGGTTGGCAGAACCTGGGACAAGTAATGGGAGCTCACTCCATTATGCAGCACTAGGGATTCGAACTGCCGACCTTTCTGATCAACCAGCTCAGCATCTTAGCCACTGAGCCACTGCGTCCCATTTTTTTTTGTTCTAGTGCAGTGTAAAGCTCTTCAGATCCTCCTCTTCCAATGTTATGCTCTTTAGGTAACCTTGAAGCAAGGAGAAATTTTAGTTGCGTCTACTCCTTATCTGAGGTTTGGCGCTATCTGAAAAGCCACGGTGGCCAAAATGTGTCTTACGTGAATTTGGATGTCATGATAGGTAGTCTTCAACTTAGGACTGTGATTAAGGCCACAATTTCAGTTGTAAGTCGTGACAGTTCTTAAGCCGGTCACTACGGGGCCGTGTTCAACTTTACAGCCTTCTCTGCAATGGTCATTATGTGAACCCAACAGTTGTAAAGTGAACACTGATCAAGCAAGCCCATAGTTTACTCTGGGGCATTTTTTTTGGCCAGCAACCAGAAGTAAATGCCTGATTAGCTAAATGCACACCGGGTTAACACACCGTCACAAGAAAGGTTGTAAAATCAGTCACAGTGACCCGGGTAACCACTTAACAACTAGCACAATTTAACAACCCTAAGTTCAAGTTCAATTACGGTCATAAATCAAGGACTTGTGATGCCTTTAATCCTTTATATCAGGAATTGGCAACCTGAAGAAATTGCATGAAGCACCTGCCTCTGAAGCTACTTGTGACCATAACTGCTGGAAAACCAGCTGAATGACTCCCTGCCACCTTGAGATTGGAAATGCCACAAACTGACAATCCCAAAGGTGCTTTTTCAGGAGGCAACTGGACTTTCTTGGTTTGCTTGTTTTTCCCGTTGAAGATGTTTCACTTCTCATCTTCTGAGAAAGCACCTTTGGGACAACCATGACCTGGATGACAGAGAATCTCTACAGATCTTTAGCTATGTACTTTGGGATGAACACTCTTTGAATGGTGGGGGAGTAGGAATGGATTTCCAGAGGGAAAATTGCAGACTATAGGAAACAGGAGCACTACTCAGGTGATCCTGAGGACACAGGTATACCTCCAAGGGTTTCAAAGACCTTCTAAAAGGATGCAGATGAGCAGAAATATACTGTATTTTTCGGAGTATAAGACGCACCCTTTTTCCTTAAAAAGAGGGTGAAAATCTGGGTGCGTCTTATACACTGAATACAGCATTTCTGGCCTCCCAGAACCCTGCCCCCTTCACCAAAATGGTGTGCATAGCCTTTAGGAGGCTTCCAGAGTGCTGCTGCGAGCTGGGGAGGGCACAAATGGGCGAAAAATGGGCTGTTTTTTTGCTCGTTTCCCCCCCTCCAGCCCCCAGGAGCACTCTCCAAGCCTCCTAAAGGCTGTGCATGCCCTTTTTCTGACAAAAAATGGGCCCATTTTCATGAAAAACAAAAACGTTTTTGGGAGGTCTGCAGAGTGCAAAACCTTTTTTTTTTTTAATTTGCCTCTTCAAAATCTTGGTGCGTATTATACTCCGAAAAATATGGTAAATCCTTCCATTCCCCACCATCCAGTCAAAGCT